TTCAGAACTGTACACTGAGAAATGAAAACAAAGGTAAACAGAACAAAAACATGGATTTTGTAAAGTATGAATTTATCTTCAGGTTTTACTCCGACTCGCACGTCTTTCTCGTCCCGGCAGTTTTGCAAACGGACACTTAAGAACCAGAGACGTCTCGGTGCACAGACACAGCGACAAAAGGACGTTACAGGACTTCCTGCCACGCTCTTCCTCACCACTACATCCAGTCCCAGCGGGGCCAGCAGGAACCAGCGCAGGGCTGTTAAGTTGTAGAGCCCGACGAAGCAAACGCCACTGATGCCGTCTCCCTCGATCTTGTTCATGGCGAGCAGAGTCACCGTGAGGACGCCGGGGATGCCCCAGGCGCAGGCGTGGAACAGGAGGGCCTTCTTCTCTATAGCCTCGCTGCCCCACTTAGGAACAGCTGCTAGGAACCAGGTAATGGTTAAAATGACCCACCACACGCTGCCGGCCACGGTGAAGAAGTAGAGCACCATGAAGAGAAGCGTGCAGGCCTGCCAAAGAACAGAAAAACACACAGTCTGTCTGGATCTGTACGTATGGAAGGAGGAGAAAACCAGCAGGGTTCAAGCCCAGTGACAGACCTTATTATGGGAGCCCTGGGTCACGGTCGAAGCCCTAAACCTCCCAGGACTAGCTGCATTACAGGAAACTTTGTCCTCCAACAGGAAGCCCAGGAAGAATACCAGGGACACCATCATGTAGCACACGGCGTAAAATATAATCGGGCGCTCCGGGTAGCGGAATCGCGACACGTCGATGAGGAACGTCAGGAAGGTGAAGAGCGTGGCAGAGAGGCAGACGATGGACACGACTCCGATGAAGTAGCGGGCGAACGTCAGCTCTTCACGTGTGAAGTACATGTTGGGACACGGAGGAGAGCAGTCGCGCACCCCCATGAAGGAGTAACCGAGCTCGGGGCTGATCTTGAGCTCGCGGGGACACCAGAAGCCGTAGTCCCTCTGGACGGAGATGGGAGACTCGGTCGTGTCCGAGCCGGACAGCAGGTCCACGGGGCGGGGGTAGGGCTCGTCGCAGTCCGGGAACCTGAGAGCAGACGAGAGGCGGTGACCTCGGGCAGCTGTTGAGCCTGTGGCTCGTACCTGAATGATGTCGTTTACAGGGAGATGAAGATGGCACCGAGGACCACATCACCTCCTCTTCTCCCTGCTGTGTTTCTTATCGCTTATCAATATTTTTTAAACTTGTGTGTTTGGAAAACCAGGTTTAAATGTTTTGTGTTTTTGTTGTTCCCACGTCAGCTGTGTTCAACAAAAACAAACCAATCGGATTTTTCCACAGAAGAAAATACAGGAAATAAAACATTTGATTACTGAAGCATAAATGCAACTGCAAGAAGTAAAAACTGTCCTTAAACTACGAACAAACAAGGACACAGTCACATGTTAGCAAAGTCCTCCTCGGGGAAACATAAAAGCTTCAAAGGTGAAGCTACAAGTGCAGAACGCTGACTCTACCATCAGATCAGTCACAAAACTTTAGAATGAAAATAAATCATTTTAAGGATGTTTGCTGGCCTCGTTCCTCCAGCAGAGCTGCTGCTGCTGCACCAACCTGTTGCAGTCCATCTCCTCTGGCCAGCTCACACCGAACATGTCCATCAGCTTGTAGCAGTCGCTCTTGGCCTGCAGACAGAGGCGGCGACACGGCAGCGTGACCCGGCCGTACTCGGTACAAACCGGGGCGTAGAGCGCACACAGGAACATCCTGAGCTCCGGGGAGCACTGCAGGTTCACCATGGGATGGAAAGGCTGCACGTGGAGACAGAAAGAAGAAACACGCCAGTGGAGCGTGAGCATCACTCCACATTCAGAACGTGAGCCACAGAGGGCACGAAGACACCAGCCGAGCACCTGAGTCCATAAAAACAACTCCGGCCGGCCCCTTAACTAATAATCCACCCCAATCATGATCCTGCTGCCCCTTTATTCATCCCACAATCTCCAGACAGGAGACACACACACACATGCACACACACACGCACGCACGCACACAGGGCCTTTGTGTTGCAGGGTGGACCACGCTGTGACTGACTGACACACTGGGGCATCATGCTTACACGAACACAAGGAAGTGTATTATCTTCACGTTCACACACCCACAGACCGACACAATGATGCTCTCACACACATGAACTGTGCCAACACACAGTGGGTGCAGGAAGCATCCGTGGTCCTGCTGCTAATATGCAAATAGAAGTTTCCATGCATGTGTGTGAGCCGAACACACTGTGGTTTGCAGTTTTTATGTGTTTGTGTGTGTGTTACAGAAGGAGCCACACCCAAGTCAATCACTAACACACACACACACACACACACACACACACACACACACACACACACAGCCCTCCCCCAGATTTTAAAGACAGTTGTGTGTGACAGACAGAAACAGGGAGGGGAGGGGTTTATTAGAGGAATGGATATTAATGTTTAACCAATCAATGCAGCTTCAACAACGTTAAATAAAGTGCAAAGAACGCCACGTCCTGTGTGTGTGTGTGTGCGTGCGTGCATGTGTGTGCGTGCGTGCATGTGTGTGTACCAATCAGAATCTTGTTGGCGTTACAAATGTAACAGATTTCAGATTTTAGATTTCAGATTTTAGAAAATGGCACAAAACTGAACAGCTGTGTGGGCTCAGCGTCTCTGTCCGTCACCGATTAGCAAACACAGCAATAAAAATGCGACATGTCCAAATCCGGCTGTTTGGGGATAAATCTTTCAGAGAAGCAATGATGACGCAGGACTTTGTCACCTTAACTGCAATCAGATTTAAACACCGTTCCCACCGTACGTCTGCAACACAGCGCCGTCTCCTGCTCGCCTGCCACACACATGTGACGTGCTTCTGTAAAAGGATTCGAGTGGGTGTTCGCCCCTCAAAGCACAAAGCACCCACGTCCGTGCAGCTTTTGTCAGCGCCTTGTTCATATCGCTCTTCCTGGCGTTGATGGCTTTGCGCTGCGTGGGCTCAGCGATAGACGGCACGATGACACAGATTTATGGTCGAGTCGCAGCTCAGCACAGCATACGCTCTCTGAGAGCATCGCCCGTCGTAACTGAGCTCAACCATCCAGCCGATGGTGGAGTCATCACATTTCACGAGCTCCACCGTGTAATGACACGAGCACTCGTGCAAGCTATGAGCCAGCGTGAAAACAAGTGCTTCAAACGCGATGCAACCATGAATGGTCCTCACAGATCATCACTGACATGTAGCTCCGGCCCCCGTGTGCACTGAAGCTGCGTGGCCGGTTACCTCTTACAGATACTTTTACTATCGGCTGCAGCGCTTCCTGGTGATCGTGTTACAGCTATAGTCAGGTACAACAGGGAGGCTGGCTATTCTCTGGAGGAATAACAGCAGAAAATCCTGAATGTAGCGGCCGCCACGAGAGGGAAGCGGGCGCTACTGCTGTGATCAGCCCTCCTGTGACTCGCGTTGCGTGCCGCTGCCAGCGAGCAGTCCTGTGACATCTATTACTTCATCAGCGATGCCCTGTAAACACGGCTAAACCACTCAAACATGATCTAATGCAGCACAAGTGAGTTTGCATCTTCGCTCTTTCTCTCCCGTTTGATTCCCGTGGGCTACTGCTGCGCTTCATAGAACACGATGTACCACACGGGACGGCGCTACAAAGGGAGACGCCAAGGGCCAAAGCCGGATCCCTATACAGGCTACCAGGATGATCTACTAAAGAAAAAACACATTCATCTGTCCTCCTATCATCTCGCCATTTTTCTCATTTTTCTATTTTTGTGCTCTTCCATCCTCGTCCCCCCTCCTGCCCTTTTAACCCTCCCGCAACTCCTCGCGTGTCCATTTAGCCTCTTTATGACAGTCGACCCATCATGTGAGCCAATGAGAGCAGGACTGAGCCAGTGGATGGTACATATGGCCGGTCACAGCTCTGCCCACACACTCACACTCTCCACAGGGTTTAGTGTTAATGGCCACAGCAGAAACAGCTGGTGAACCACTGGCCAGAAGCTCGTCGTGCAGCTTTCCTCCCCAGAGTCAGCGATGTAAGGAGAATAGAGCGTGTAACACACAACTGTGTGGATGCTGGCGGTATGCTAATGTAACCTCAGCTTCCATCCTGCTGCTGCAGTCATTATGGATTCATGGCAGTTTGTTATGGGATTTTTGATCTCTGAAAATGTGGAATAATGTGTCCTTCTAGAAACACACACAGAGGAGACGTGTCTGCCAGTCGCCGAAAAATGGTGCATTCTGGGAGTCCAAAACAAGGCCAACAAACAGCCAATGAGGGGATAGATGCAGATATAAGAGGCTGATCTGCTGCACAGTTTACGACTCAGGAAAAACATTATTGGTTAGAATCAAATGCGTTTATCTGAAAACAACCTTGTTGTGAGTAGGGGTGGGCGATAGAAGCGATATAAATTTGGCCAACGATAGAGATTTTGACTTTACCGCTCTATCGCGATAGCGCACGTTGATGATGTCATCAAGCTGCGCCTGTTTTGGTCAAAAGCATCGCAGCGGCTACAACCATTATCATCTGCAAATTATGCCGACAGTCACAGCAAAGAGATGAAGCACTTTTGAAATATGGGGAAAGCCAAAAACTGCGCTTCCTCCACTTCCGTAACATTGATTCATTAATGACTTTTATCGAGTGGAAGAAAGTTAGCATTCATCCTCCAGCTTCACTGTGCTAATGTTATGCTAACATAGCTGTGTCGCTAGCAATCACGTAGCACAACATTATATACCAGGTAGTCCAACTTCAGTAACCCTACAAACGCCACTGCTGTTTAGTTTTCTGTCTTCATTTATGTTGGAAGTGGTAGCAGAGCTGTACGTTTGAATTAGTTTCAAAAATCTCTCTGTCAGAACATGCTATATCATGTTTAGGTGGAAACTAGCGAGCTAACTTCCTGCTAACATCTAACTCCGTTAAATTTAATAACTTCTGTTTTCATGGATGTTAAACTTAATTGTTACACCCGATAAAGCAGCAACGCTGATGATTTAATTAAAGATGAAAGAATTTAGACCGTTTTTAACTCTTAGTGTTCGTTTGACTTTGGGACCTGAATAGGACGGAGTTTTGGACCCAGATTACTCCGCGAAGCTCCTCCCTACGGCAGCCGTAATGCTCTGACAATCCATCAAACAGTGCGGCTTACAAAGCTGTACTAAAACATTTTTAACAGATTTCTGCCCAAATCGGTTCGAGGTCAGTGAGCACAACCAGAATTCATACATAAGGCACACTCTCGATTTTTGAGAAAATTAAAGGATTTTAAGTGTGGAAAATACGTTATACAGAAGAACAGAATATATCGCGATATATATCGTTACCGCACATGCTTGAAATTATATTGCGATATGAATTTTAGGCCATATCGCCCAGCCCTAGTTGTGAGTAATTCTAACAGAGCTGCAGTAACGCTGAAAACTCGCTCAGTGAGATCTGTGACACGTCCAATAGGACTGAGCCAGCTCTGACCCGCATACGGATGCAAGAAAAGATCACAAGGAACCCAAAATGTTCTTTTAAAATTTAGCAACAGTGTCACTGTTTTTCCTCTTTGACACATTTTAAAAAATAATGGTAGCAGGATATTCCTCATGTTTTTAAATCTGATGGTTTCTGCTCTGAATTTTCTAAGAAAACGAACCTTCGTTATCTCCATAACAACCATCGGGCCTAAAATCTATTGTTATTCTGTTGTCTTGTTGTGTACCTGCTCAGAAAAACAAATCTCCTCCTTCTTAAAAAAAAACTCTGTTGACTCTCCGAAACACATTTGTTATGAGTCAGCATGATGATCAGTCAGCGGGGTCGGACCGTCTCAGCTGGTACGGTGCGTCCGTAACAGCGAGGCAGGCACAGCTTCTGTGAGTGTCGCTGACTGCTTGCTTTCACAGTAAATAACCACATCTCACATCAAACTGAGGCGAAGAACAGGAGCAACATCTCTAATAATCGTGCTTCCTGGGACGGTGTAGTGAAAGTGCATATTTGCATATTTCTAATCTTAAACGTAGCAGCCTTTGAAAAACCGGGACAAACAGCCGTGACCTCAGCTTCACCTCTGCAGCATGGACACTATCCAGCATGTTTTGAATCCGATTAAGATGAAAGTTATCTAAGATTAATGTATTAATTATGAATACAGCCTAGTATGCCTAATGGTTTTCATTGCCGTTGCCTCTGTTTTATCTAAATTAAAAATGTCCTCACATGTGGCTGTCATTGTTCTTAGAAACAAAAATCAGGTAAAATAATAAATCTGGTGATTCTTTGTTTTTACGTTCATCAGGTCCCAATCAGCCCAAATATGAAAGAGAAATTAAAAATGCTGCTGTGGAAGAGTTCAGGTCTCAGAAGGTTAAAGGCTGAGATGGTGTGACTGATGAATCGCTGACAGTGACGCCCACTGTGGACGACTGGTTCTTGTTGATTTGCCCTTTAAAAAAATATCTCCTAGTCACCTCTCTTCCCATCTCCCCCCCCTTATCCTCACTCTTTATCCCCCTTTCTCCTCTGCTGCCATTCCAATTCTCCAAATTTCAAAGCTCAGCGCCATGGTGACGAGTGATGCATCACCGGAGTGGAGGTGGAGGAGAAGGAGGAGGACGAAGAGGGAGGAGAGCGGGGCTCGAGGAGGTCAGGGTGCAGGGCGGAGGGGACCACCTCCCGCGAGGCGAGAAAGCCTCTGCTCCTTTTGTTAACGGCACAATTGGGACCGTTCCCTGGGCAACGGGTGAGTCC